GCTCAGCGATGTGCGAACTTGGCGCTCTATTTCACATTTCAGTGTTTTTGGTTTGATTATATTATTGAATTACATTTATTATTATTATATTAATATTTTTTATGATTATTTATTAAATTATAATTTATGATTTCGTGTTTTAAATTTTATCATCCCCGGGATGTTTACTAGACTCTTGTTCAGACAGATTTCAGTGAGTTATTCCTAAGAATTACAGGCCTACAATATAAAACAACAAATTTCCATTCAAAACAATGTACCGCTTTGACATTCAAAAATATTGACATAATTAGAGCGCCTGGGAGGTTAATCAGTTCTGACCCATCGCTCTACCCGACGCGTTTCGTGTGCATGCACGTCTTCAGGGTTACTCCCACAATCATTGTTTCCAGTTAGTTTTTCATTCACTGGGAGACAGTGACAGCATTTGTGAATTATTTTGCTGCAAGCAAGAGCACTTTATGGTGGTTGACAGACATTATTTACATTTTTCTCACTGATTTTTTTTTTTTCATTTTATGAACGTTTATTATATTTTTGTTTTATTTTCTTTGATTTAATTTTAGATACACTTTTATGTTTTTATAAGCTATATATCCCCTGCAATAAAATACCCCCTTCTCTCAACAACAATAGATCTCCACAAAAGAATATCCCCTTGCCCCATCAATAATAGATCCCTGACAACAAAATACCATCTCCCCCAGCAACAATAGACCTCCCACAGCAACAATAGATCTCTTGCAACAAAATACCCCCATTCCTCCAACAACAATAGACCACATGTTATAAAATACCCCCTTTCCCCGGCAACAATAGATCCACCCAAGCAACAATATGCCCCACCAGTAACAACAGATGTTCCAGCAGCCATTATTATTATTATATTATTTTTTATGATTATAATTTATGATTTTGTGTTTCAAATTTTAATATACCCGGGATGTTTACTAGACTTGTTCAGACAGATTTCAGTGAGTTATTGTCAAGGTCCTACCTTTTCCTAGAGGTTATGTTACTCCATGTGCTGGCATCCATCTTGGATTTCTGTGAACTTGTGACAAGACCATTCTCTGTGTTTACCTTCGATCTGACCTTCCGTTGCTGAACCCGGCCCGTGACCTGTGATTCTCTGTCTACTGTTCTGTACTGTTTTGTCCCGTTGTTGTCGACCCAGTTTGTCTGACTACGCTATTGTCATTCTCACCAGCTACACGCCATTGGCGGCGGCCATTACCGCAGCCGGGTGTCTCGGGGGCCGCGACCTGGTTCCTGGCTGCGTCAAGTCCATCCCCACCATCAGGGGCCCTGGTGAAGGGCAGCCTGGGACTTAGACTCCGCGCCCTGGGGGACCTCGGTCTGTTTGTGGTGGTTGTCGTCAGCCAGTGCGTTACCCTGCCACTAGACCTACCTGTCCGTTCCACAGCCCTGCCCTGACAGTTATTCCTAAGAATTACAGACCTACAATAAAAAAAAATACATATTTCCATGCAAAAAAATTTACCACTTTCAGCACAGAAATATGGACGTAATCAGACCTCTAGGGAGGTTAATAGGTCTATTGTATATTATTATTATTATTATTATTATACAGTATTTATATAGCACCAAAGGGTATGCTCAGCGCTGTACAATAGTGAGGGGGACAGAACATGAGACAAGACAGTAACAGTACAATACACGAGAGGTTCGAGGGCCCTGCTCTTTCGAGCTTACAATCTAGGAGGGAGGGGATACCCTGTTATATGCACAATTACACCAGGACTTTGCTGATGATACCTGTTTGTACATTGGACGCACAGTATGTCCTGTTATTAATCTCTTCTTATATAAAGCTTGCATTATTTCCATACTGGTGTGCTGATTGTTATGGTGTTGTGCTGGTTGCAGTAGTTCTTCTGCTCACTATTACTTTGATTAGATTACTGGTTAATTTCCCGGGATAGGAATCCCCTCTGTTCTGGGTGGAGACACTGCCAACTGTATTATCAAATCCACATTTCCACTTCTGGTTCTGGTTCTCTTATTTATCTACAGGTTTAGTGCAACATTCTGTTTGGGAAGGAACATTTCTCCTAACCCCCCCCCCCCCCCCCCTAAAAAAGCTACACCTGTCTTTGCTGGTCCAATGGTTTGGCCAAGCTTGAATTCAGACCGAACCAGGGGCGTACTGACCATTTGGAAACTCGGGCACTGCCTGAGGGCCCGGGGTCGGTAGGGGGCCCCATGAGATGCCCCTGGTACCTTTTTCATAGGCTTTTTTGAGTTCGGGCAAGGACACAGGGGCCCCATGATCACCTATTGCCCGGGAGCCCCATGAGTTGTCAGTCCACCCCTGCTCATAACCCCCCCCCCCCCAAAAAAAAACTACACCTGTCTTTGCTGGTCCAATGGTTTGGCCAAGCTTGAATTCAGACCGAACCAGGGGCGTACTGACCATTTGGAAACTCGGGCACTGCCTGAGGGCCCGGGGTCAGTAGGGGGCCCCATGAGATGCCCTTGGTACTTTTTTCATAGGCTTTTTTGAGTTTGGGCAAGGACACAGGGGCCCCATGATCACCTATTGCCCGGGAGCCTCATGAGTTGTCAGTCCGCCCCTGCTCATAACCCCCCCCCCCAAAAAAAAAACTACACCTGTCTTTGCTGGTCCAATGGTTTGGCCAAGCTTGAATTCAGACCGAACCAGGGGCGTACTGACCATTTGGAAACTCGGGCACTGCCTGAGGGCCCGGGTCAGTAGGGGGCCCCATGAGATGCCCTTGGTACTTTTTTCATAGGCTTTTTTGAGTTTGGGCAAGGACACAGGGGCCCCATGATCATCTATTGCCCGGGAGCCCCATGAGTTGTCAGTCCGCCCCTGCTCATAACCCCCCCCCCAAAAAAAAAAAAGCTACACCTGTGTTTGCTGGTCCAATGGTTTGGCCAAGCTTGAATTCAGAGCGAACCCAAGCTCTTTCCTACACATGAGTGGTAGGATGGCTCCAGGCGTAAACACGTGGGTGGTTTGCTTTGTGACAGAGTCTCTTTAGAAACACTAAACACACTACGGCATCTCTATAATCAGTAACGTCTGGTTACTAAACACTGATATTCATTGCTGTGCAATTACAGATATGTGAATAATTCAAACAGATATGAATTAAGCTAATTGTTCCTTTTAGCTATCACTTGTTAGAAACCTCATTAAAATTCATATGAAATTCAGATGCTCACACTGGATGTGTTACATCTTGTTGAGTAATGGGGAACTGCTGGGAACAGCTATATCCTCATCAGCAAAGCTAAACATGGACTATATGGATAAATTAAAGTCATTCTAAAGGCTGAAGAGTTTTTTTTTTTTTGCATTCTATGTGTAGTGCCATCCTAGTTAGCTAGGGGGAGCTAGAATCTTGATTGTTAGAGAGGAGAGCTAAATATTAGCCTGGGTGCAATAGTCAGGAGGTCAAATTTGGGACAGAAATGAGAGGCTCTGCAGACCAGCCCTCTGGAATTTCCCCCTGCTCTAGATTTTTGGAGAACAAGGGGGGCAAACTTTTTGACTTGAGGGCCGCAATGGGTTCATATATTGGACCCGGGGGCCGGACCAAGAGTAGATGAATGATGTGTATGTGTCATCCATAGTAAGTATAGTAATATTCCCCCATAGTAAGCATAGAAATTAATCCCCCATATAGTAATTCATCCCCTATAGTAATTCATCCCCCATATAGTAATTCATCCCCCATATAGTAATTCATCCCCCATATAGTAATTCATCCCCCCCCATATAGTAATTCATCCCCCATAGTAATTCATCCCCCATATAGTAATTCATCCCCCATAGTAATTCATCCCCCATAGTAATTCATCCCCCATATAGTAATTATCCCCCATATTAGTAATTCATCCCCCATAGTAATTCATCCCCCCTATAGTAATTCATCCCCCATATAGTAATTCATCCCCCATAGTAATTCATCCCCCCTATAGTAATTCATCCCCCATATAGTAATTCATCTCCCATAGTAATTCATCCCCCATAGTAATTCATCCCCCATATAGTAATTCATCCCCCATAGTAATTCATCCCCCATAGTAATTCATTCCCCAATAGTAATTCATCCCCCTATAGTAATTCATCCCCCATAGTAATTCATCCCCCATATAGTAATTCATCCCCCCATATAGTAATTCATCCCCCATATAGTAATTCATCCCCCATATACTAATTCATCCCCCATAGTAATTCATCCCCCCTATAGTAATTCATCCCCCATATAGTAATTAATTCCCCATATTAATTCATCCCCCATATTAAGTCCCCAAGTCCCGCCTGTGTCAATTCACTTACCTTTGCTCCGCGCGTTCCTCTTGCCGTGTTCCCGCGCCGTTCCGGTCTTCAGGGCGGACTGTGAGAGGAGCCTAGCTCCCCTCACGTTTCATCACGCTGCCCCGCCTACACACATCCTGACAGCCATCCTGACAGTATCACGCTCCGCGGGCTGGATTAAAAGGTCCGCTGGGCCGTATACGGCCCGCGGGCCGTAGTTTGCCCATTGCTGGTCTAGAAGGAGTGGGTGGATCTGAGGAGTGCAGGGGCGGATTGACCATTTGGGAACTCGAGCACTGCCCAAGGGCCCGGGGTCAGTAGGGGGCCCCATGAAATTCCCCTGGTACCTTTCATAGGCTTTTTTGGGTGTGGTTTTGAGAGTGGGCAAGGACATAGGGGCCACATGATCCCCTATGAGCTGTCAGTCCACCCCTGGAGGAGTGGGTGGATCTGAGAAGTGGATGGATCTGAGGAGTGGCTGGCCCGAACTCTTGAGAGATCCTAGCCAATCCCCAACAGGAGTATGGAAAGGGGCTGGGACAACCTTTAAGTGTTTCTGAGCCTGCTCAGAGGGGGCCCAGATGGAGAGAGGGGCTCACCTACAGGCAGTAGAGCTGGAAAGGAAGAAAGAAAGCGGTGTAAGGATACCGGGCAGGATGGGAACAAAGAAGATACGTGACAGGGTCCGGGGAGAGCGGATATAGTGAATGCGGGGTCTGGGGAGAGCGGATATAGTGAATGCGGGGTCCGGGGAGAGCGGTTATAGTGAATGCAGGGTCCAGGGAGAGCGAGGATATAGTGAATGCAGGGTCCAGGGAGAGCCGGATATAGTGAATGCGGGGTCCAGGGAGACCGGATATAGTGAATGCGGGGTCCGGGAGAGCGGATATAGTGAATGCGGGGTCCGGGGAGAGCGGATATAGTGAATGCAGGGTCCGGGGAGACGGATATAGTGAATGCAGTCCGTTGAGAGCGGATATAGTGAATGCGGGGTCCGGGTAGAGCGGATATAGTGAATGCAGGGTCCGGGGAGACCGGATATAGTGAATGCGGGGTCCGGGGAGAGCGGATATAGTGAATGCAGGGTCCGGGGAGAGCGGATATAGTGAATGCAGGGTCCGGGGAGAGCGGATATAGTGAATGCGGGGTTCCGGGTAGAGCGGATATAGTGAATGCAGGGTCCGGGGAGACGGATATAGTGAATGCGGGTCCGGGGAGAGCGGATATAGTGAATGCAGGGTCCGGGGAGACCGGGGGTCCGGGGAGAGAGGATATAGTGAATGCAGGGTCCGGGGAGAGCGGATATAGTGAATGTAGGGGTCCGGGGAGAGCGGATATAGTGAATGCAGGGTCCTGGGAGAGCGGGATATAGTGAATGCGGGGTCCGGGGAGAGCGGATATAGTGAATGCGGAGAGCGGATATAGTGAATGTGAAGCGGATATAGTGAATGCAGGGTCAAGGGTGAGAGCCGGATATAGTGAATGCAGGGTCCGGGGAGACCGGATATAGTGAATGTAGGGTCCGGGGAGAGCAGATATAGTGAATGCAGGGTCCGGGGAGAGCAGGATATAGTGAATGCAGGGTCCGGGGAGAGCGGATATAGTGAATGCAGGGTCCGTTTAGAGCAGATATAGTGAATGCAGGATCCGTTTAGAGCAGATATAGTGAATGCAGGGTCCAGGGAGACCGGATATAGTGAATGCAGGGTATGGGGAAAGCAGATACAGTGAATGCAGGGTCCGGGGAGAGCGGATATAAATGGACTCGGCTGCTGCATCATTTTTTTTCACTTTGATTTTCGGGGTGTCTTTGAATTCAATCTTTTGTAGGTCGATCATTTTCATTTCCATCAAACGATGGGGAATCCCAGTCCATATCAGTATAGATATCCAGCAAATGTTTCCCCATTGAGATCTGATGTGTTTTCAAAGTGTTCTTTTCATTTTTTGAGCAATGTATTATTTTTGGTTTTGGGATTAATAACCCTAGAAGAAGTCATGGCCACTTTTGCATTACTTTCAGTACAGTCCTCATATTTGTTTGTGTTTTCTGAATGAAGGATTCCATGTCCCCAGCTGTTCAGTAAATCGAAACGAGCTTTTAGATGCAGGCGGTATCAGAGCCTATTACGGCAATCGGTTTCGGGAAGAAAGACTGAATGGCAGAAGCGGTAGGCTCTGGCTGCAGCGTACGCACTCTCCGGGACTCCCGATGACATTTTCAATTTTGGCAAAAGAGTCCGAGTTTCTCCATTGCCTGAGCCATTGTCATCCTGCTGCTAGAAAGGAGGTGAAATATTAAAGTATGATAACTGTGGAATTATAGACTCAATTATCACCCAAAGAGATCGGCTGGTAGCTCAGTCACTGGCTATAATGATCTGTTTCAGCTTTCATTTGGCAATGGCTGCCGGCATACAGACAGAATTGAAATAATCCAAAAAACAGTATTTAAGCCGTTATAATGATCAGCTTATCTGTCTGTCTGACTCATTCTCAGAAGTAAAACTGCACTCCAGTGTGTGCAATGGTTTCACCACGGGGTCTCAAACTCTTACGGGACTTTGTATTTAAAGTAGAAGTCTGGTTTAGGCCTGTCTAAGCTTAAACCTGCTCCCATCCCCATCCTACGCCCTATATTAACTACCCTGAAAAGGAAAAATGTGTATACTTACCTATTTCTAGATATGTATACTTACCGGCTCAGAAATGCGCACACCTGGGAAGTGTTGGTCTCTAACAGGAGTGTGCACCTCGTGTTGGGAGGATTCTTTACCATGTGAGCATCAGAACTAGGAACAATGGAAGAAGGTGGCCTGATCTGATTATTATTATTATACAGGACTTATATAGCGCCGACAGTTTGCTCAGCGCTTTACAATATGGTGGGAGACAATACAGCAACAATACAGTTCAATACAAGAGGGATTGGAGGGCCCTGATCCTTGGAGCTTACAATCTAGGAGGGAGGGAGAGTGGTACAAGAGGTAATTAGCTGTGGGGGATGGAGTGGTAGGAAGAGTAGGGATTCCAGTATTAGCTGGGGTAGGGATAGGCTTCCCTGAATAGATGGGTTTTCAGAGTGCACCTAAAAGAGAGCAGAGTAGGCGATGGGTGGCCACACCAAATATTGATTTCATTTATGTAACGGAACCGACCCAGACAGTACTTCCGTTAGAATACCGATTCCCCGGCCAAACACCGACCACAGCTGACCAAACAGTACTAGACGACACCAGTCTATAAGTAAACCAGGAGGTAGACTAGTTTATTTTAACACAGATACAAGATATATACACTCAAGGGAATAATCCCCCCTCCCTGCATTATGACACAGGGCGGGGCAATCTACATTTAGCAACAAGAGACACACCAACAGACAATCCCATCAGGAGGGAGGACTGCTGGAGACACCCCCCACCAAACCAATACAAATAAACACATACATCCTTAATAGTTTGCTCCCAAGCCAGACACACAATAGAACAATGGGATGCAACCACATAACATAAATCAATTAACAACCCCCCACCCTAATATTAGGACAGATCACCTTGTACCCCTAAAAGGCACAGGGTGACTTACACATAATAGGGATATGGTATCACGTACCTGGTGATGGAGGCCAATGGAGAGAGGGCTTCCCTTGCGGCTAAGTTCCGGACTCCCCTGAGAGTGGGACAGCAGAAGTCTGGCACAAAGTTGCACAGGTCGCCTGTAGGAGTGCTGGTTGGTGGTCCACTCAGAAGCACAGCTGGTGCATGGAGATAGGTCTGCAGTCAGGAGGCGTCTGTGCGTTTTAAGCAAGCCCTTCCGGGATTTGGATGTTTACTGGGTAGTTGGTTCAAGCCAAGGTCAGGTACCAGGTGGAAATCAGAGCGGACGTAGTCAGCTGGGAAAGCCGAGGTCATTCACAGAGGAGTGGGAGATAGAGAAGTCAAGCCAAGGTCAGATCAGGGGTAAATGAGAGTAGACAGGTCCAGGAGCAAGCCGAGTTGGTAACAGGAAATCACAAGTTAGAATCACAGGAACCAGGAACAGGGAGCTAGAGATTATCCAGCAACCAGAGGAAGTGATGAGCCTCCTTATAAAGGCCGTCTGGCACCAGACTGAGGCTGATGTGTCCTTCTGCGGCCATGTACAGTATTGGCAGAAATGCCAGATCTTCCAGAACTCCTGCCGTGGACAGGACCCTGACATATGGGGAGCTGAGACAGGGGTCTCCCCACCTCTCCAAAGTGAGCTGTGTTCCATGGGCCCCCCACCCAAAGTGACTCTTGTCACAATTTACATTTTTCTTCTGTTCATTTAGTTTCTATTTTGTTATTTAATAGAAATAAACTACTTAGACTTCTTTTTCTGAAAGTATTTCTAATTTACTGCATTTTTTACACCTGCCTAAAAACTTTGCACAATACTGTATATTAACGAAAAAATTTTTCCACACTCCGCTAAAGTGTTCAGGTTTGGCTTGAAGAAACGGTAGCATCCCTAGCCCAGTCTGGCCAAAACCTTTTGTCTCTGGGTAAGCTTTCCCTGTAGATGGGTGAATGGGTGAGTCCTATTCAACAGCAATAAACACACAGGAGCCCAGAGGAAGGGAGAAACCAAGCTTATGTATATTTTATAATACACAGAATTCATAATTTGTTCCGTGATTGAAGAGAGCTATAGTTGTTGATTTACCAGAGTGCAATGCATGGCAAGAAGAGGAGATTTCATATGAGAAAGGTCCAAGGTAGTCATGGCAAGGCTTTCATATTAGACCCTTGGGATTCATTCCACAATATATATATTCTCTAGGTCTCATAACCCCGTAGCCTGCACGGAATCCTTCCTCAGAATTATAGAGACCTGTTCTGTTTATTACCAGCCACCCTGCCCATGATAAATACGGGGAGAGTATCAGTGGTTTTCTCAAAAACAAATAAATAGGTTTTATTATAATGAAAAGGACGGGGGAAATGTTTATTAGGACGTTTAGCGCGAGGTTGCTCTCCGCTTAGAATCATTATTGTGATGTAGAGCGTAGTTACACAGTGATACACATTATAAAATATTGAAAAGTGGAAGTTTTGTGAAGAAAATTACTGCCAGAAAGATGAATCTGGTAGGCTCGGTGCTGCTGGTGTTTTCTATGGAATGCTGCTATACCCCGACGTTGTAGGGTGGTTAGCTGGAGAAGAGCACTTTCAATGCGGCCGTGCAAAGACCTACAGCTTGTGGTTACCCAGTTAGGCTTTACTTTTCACTGGCTTAGAGCAGCCGGTAGAGTAAAAACACCCACTGATTGGTTGTTTAGGGTTTCTTCTTTTAATTATTAGGATTAACACATTCTGTAGGGCTTACATCAATCTCCAGTGCCAAAAGTCCATATATTGCAGCCCAAGCATCTACTTGGTGATAATGTCAAAATATCTATGTAGCACACCATTAGCATTAGTTTGTCTCCTTCCATAATCAAGGAAGCAGTGATTTTTTGGTCTGGTCTGCTCAGGGGTCCTACAGTCTAGGAGTTTGATTACTTCCCCTTGCCTCTGAAGAAGCCTCCAGAGCTTAGGGTGGAAGATTCAAAACAACCTGCCTGAAAATTTATCAGGTTCCAGCCAACCCCTGGAGAGTGTCCAGAGGGGGCTGATAAATAGTCTTAGACACTGGAGAGCAGGGGGGTTGGGTACTGCCCTCAGGTTGCCCATGAACTGTACAGTTGCTCTTGAGGCCTCAGCGGTGTCAGGGTTGAGGGCCAGAATGGACTTTGCTAGGAGCTGAATAAAGAACCTCATCACAATGGATCTGGTCTGGAGAGGTGGTGTCTCATTCACTGGGCCATGTCTAGAGAAAGCTGGAAGTTGGCAGGTGTCCTTGGAGACTTGTGAGTAATTGAGCTCTGTGAGTAGTGTAGTGTTCTGGAAGCTGCATCAGGTACCGGCAGTTGTGTATCAGCGCGAAGTAACCAGATTCCAAAAATTACTTGACCCATGGCCTTCATCTGTGAGGTCTTAGTTCAATCAACTCACTATTATTCTAGGAGGAGATTGTCCATGTTGAGGTTCTTCAAGAAATAAACTACAAACAGGCATCCCCTAGACTGTATTATTTCAGCCGTCTTGAATGGACTGGTGCTTGAGGGGATGGCCAGCCTCTGTACTAGTTGGGGAAAACTGTAAAAATCAGCAGCTCCTTCAGGAGTAGAGCTACATCTATTGGGAGAAATTGCCCAAAAATAGGTGTACCAAGCTTGTAGCATCATACTCCAAATGACTTGAAGCTGTAATTAGTGCTAACGGTGCTTATGTACATGTGCTTTTTTTTGTTTTTTAATTTTAATAACTTGCAAAGATTTCAAAACAAACTTCTTTCAAGTTGCCATTATGGGGTATTGTTTGTAGAGTTGAGGAAAAAAATGAATTTAATCCATTTTGGAATAGGGCCGTAATATAACAAAATGTGGCAAAAGTTAAGTGCAGTGAATACTTTCTGGATGCACTGTATAACTATCTACACAATCCATGAATTTTTCAGCCCAACTGGACTGTGGCCATAATGACATCCAGAAGATGTTGGAAGACTTAGGTTATGAGAAACTCGATACCTTGACAGTTAACACCAGGTTTGAAGGAGAGAAAGGTGGAAGCTTGCTATGATAATGCTGAAACCCTGTCACCAGATTGTTTTTTTGCCGATCTGGTGACAGGGAATGAAACGAGGGTATATCTTTATTATCTGTAAATGAAAAATCAGTCCATGAA